ATTACCCATCGATGTTAGAAGTCTTTTAATATCTCATGAGCCGCGAAATGCGCGAAAGGCGTGGCGTATCCCCATAATTCTTCTAATAAGCACGTTGTAAAAACATTGACTCAGAACTAGACCATGTGCATCATTACAAGTAGACATGAACTAAGGCGCTCGGGCATCAATAAAGTCAACTGGCGAACGTTCGTTATATATATTTTTATTGTTTAAATTAAAATAATAAAGAATAGGGCATTTTATTATGATATTTGTAATCGGATCAAAGGCTTGTTTACGCTAGAGCTCGAGAGAGACTGTGAATAATAGGTGTAATGTTTTTAGGACGTAGAATAATTTAGGCGACGGTCGGAATTATGTGACTGCGCATATGAAGGTCAAAGCTCATAAGATTTTAAAACATCTGTACTATTATTATGAATTGAATTGTCATTTCTTTTATTTGAATGATTTCTAAAATACATCTTTTATGATAATTACTTTCATTATTAAGAATTTTATATGATAATTTTCTGTGGCATGTTTTGACAAGGCAGTACCATTTATATTTTCATTTCTAATGTTATACAGGGTGTCCCGAAATGTATACAATAAAATTTGGTCATAGATTCTTAAGATTCTTAAATTTAGGGTACTCCTTTTTTATTTTTGCCAAGTGCCCCCCCCCCTTAAAGCACTTTTTCGTGGATCGTTGGATCCAAAAAAATTTGGTTGCATATTTAAATTTCTTAAAAATTATTAGTTTGCTAGAAAGCCATTGAATTTGGAAACTGTTTAGTCTCTTAATATTTTTTTCGTAAAACGCAATGTTTTTGAGAAAAATGCTGAACCACGATATACATTCGATCACATTTTTTGTCATTTTTTTCGAAAACATTTGAGTTTTATGAAAAAAGTATCTAGTGACAAAAAAGTTTCTAAATTTAATGGCTTTCTAGCGGACTAATAATTTTTAAGAAATTTAAATATGCGACAAAATTTTTTTGGCTCCAAAGACAAGGGTGGCCATGAAAAATTGTCTTAAGAGGATTCCCCGCCAAAAAGCGTTGCACTGTCAGATTCCACATGTCGTAAAACCCCTGTGTGCCAAATTTAGTGATTCTCGTACAACAGGGTTCTCAGATATAAAAAAGACTATTTTTAGGTGTAGATTTCAGGGGGCTGTAACTCCCAAAGGGGGGGGCCACAAATACGGGTCCCCTAAATTTGTCTTAAGAATCTGTGACCAAATTTTGTTGCATTAATTTCGGTACACCCATTTATAAATTCTCTTATGTAAATATTGTTTTGTTTGGCCAATATATATAGGTACCATTGCAGTCATTACAATATATTTTATAAACAACATTTGTTCTTTTGATCAGGAATTATTAGAAGAATTGTATAAAATTTTGTTGTTATATAAAGTTTATGTGCTACATTGATATCATAATTTAAAAAAACAAAATTTAATATTTTCAGAAAGTTTTGGAATGTACGATATAGAAATATACTTTTTACTTTTTAAATTATTACTATTATTTTTGTAATTATGATTGCAAATTCTTTTCTTAATAATTGGGTTATAAACTTTTTTTGAATAATTATTAGAACATTATAATTTTTTTTAATAGTTTTCGGTCTATTTTTTGGATGTGAATTAACCTGTGTGAAGACAGCAGCCAAAGATAGCAGCCACATGTCTCGGAAACACCCGAACAACCATAGGCGTCGCTAAGCTGAGACACAGACTATAATACAGGGTCGGAAAGTCCCCATGGTTCATCGGCCGTTACGTGAGAGCGATAAAGTAAGTCATAGAGAAAGATGACTATAATGAAAGCATCTAACAGTCACCGCCCATTTCGCCCTTCCACAAATAAGAAGTGGATCTTATTTGTGGAAGGGCTTTCCGACCCTGTATAATCTATAGCTATTGCAACTCCGAGGCTGGACAAAACATATTCATTATCTGCCTGAAACCTGTGGCATACGTTCGCAAAGCGTCAATGGAATTGAACTTGGAAAAACAAATTTAAAACTCTAAATCTACAACACCGAAACATATTATTTTAACAGGAAAAATACGTGGATCGAAAAAACGAATGGCATCCACTCGCAAGCTGTCGGAGGGGTGCAAATTGGAATAATAAATACTGGCTGTTTTAATTTTGACTCAACAAATTATCAAATTATGTATGACCAGTTTTGTTTGTAGGCTTCCGCGACTGTCGTTAATGGTTGGATGATTTCCGGGCTTGTTGCCACGTCGTGGATTTACAACTCTTAAGTGTTGTAAATCGACGACGTGGCAACCAGCCCGGAAATCAATCAACTATGTGTTACGTAAAAGTCCTCAGGAGAATTAATAATACTCGAAAAGACCACTAACAATATATATATTAACAACAATTTAACAATTTAATTATGAACAGATAATACTACGACTACTCTCAACCGAGACACAGAACATATTCATGCAACTCCTTATCTCCACCGATCCGTAACCGACTTTGCCACGTGAGCCTTATGCCAGAAACAAAAACCAAAATACATGAGTCAGATGAGTTGCCTTCAGTCGGCCACACTACACTTTGTCAACGTCCACGTTGACTTCATTCGAGTTCCTCTTCGGTGCTTTCTTCTCCAGGGACTGTGAAGGGCTTCATGCGATCCACCGAACAAATACCTGTATACCGCTTCCGCGACCGGGTACTTCCCTTCATGTCCTCGACCACATACCGGTCGAAGTCCAATACCTTGACAATAAGGAATGGACCCTCGTATTTGGGTATTAACTTCTTGCTGTTTTCCATCGTTTGTATTGTAGTCCTTTCGTAACAGAATTTGTTGTCCGACCGCGTAAGCTGGGGCTGCAATTCGCTTTTGGTCGAACCTCTTCTTTTGTTGTTTTTGTTCTTGGAGGATATGTTGGGTTGTTTGCTCTCGTATGTCATCTACATCCTCCCTAACTAACCCGACGACCTCTGACAATTCGTTGGGGAGGAACCCATCGTTTACACCTCGTGGAGTATATCCGAACAAAAGTTTGTATGGGCTACTTCCCGTAGCTTTATTTACGGTAGTATTCAACCCCCACCTAACCTTTGGTATAGACTGGTCCCACTTCTCTTCATCATCAGTAATAGCAGATAAAGAAGACAGAATGGTACGATTATATCTCTCCACCTGCCCATTGGCACGAGGAGTGGCAGTTGCATTATGTACTACTTTAATACCAAGTGAGCGACAATATTCCAAAAATTTCTTACTGGTGTAACATGTACCTCTGTCGCAAATTCTCCGCCGTGGTACTCCAAATGTGTCTATTATTTCACTTAAAAACTTCAGTACAGGATCAGTTTTAGTGTTTTGCACTGCTTTCATGAATACAAACTTGGTGAAACTGTCCACGGCTATGATCAAATGTGGATTCCGATAATGACTTTTTACGAACGGTCCCAGATGATCCACATGGATTGTGTCCATAGGGCAGTTAATTTTAGTAATAGGGTTGAGATAACCTGGTTGACGGGTAGATTCTTTATTATATAAGCAGCCCAAACAACCTTTCACATATCTCTTTATATATCTGGCCATGCCTGGAAACCAATAGTTTTCACTAACAGACTTCAAAGTCTTCTCTCCAGAAAAATGTCCAGCCTCGTCATGATAGATCGTCACCAGCTGTCTTCTGACTAACTTAGGTACCAGCCACTTTAGGGTATCGCCTATCTTGCGATAAATTCGTCCATTTTTCAGCACATAGTCGGTATGAATTTGCCTTTCCTCTTGGCCAGAGGGTAGGACGGAGAGGACTTTATATAAATGCTGGCATCTTTTATCTTGGAGCTGAGTTGCCAAAATCCAATCATCTTTATTGATGTTTACAACAAAAACTCGTGCTTGGTCAACCTCTTGCGGCATTTCAACAGCATTCCTGCTGAGGGCATCAGCATGAGCCATTCTAGTACCTGGTCTATATGCGATTGTAAAATTGAACTCCTACGTTGTAAGCCACCATCTTCCAATCCTAGGAATCAAGTCGCGTTTGGTGAGTGTGGTACAAACAGCATTACAATCTGTGACGACTTTAAATGGTATACCGATTAAGTATACCCTGAATTGTTTCATACAATTAACAACCGCTAACGTCTCCAACTCATAAGAGTGGTATCTCTGTTCCTCCTTAGTTGTTTGCCTACTGAAATAAAGAATTGGTCTAATGGAATCGTCTTCTTGTTTTTGCATTAATACTCCTCCTATTCCATATTTGCAAGCATCAGTCAGTTCAGTCTCTGCACTAGGATCGTATATTGCTAATATTGGTCGACTTTTTAGAGCCAGCTTCAGTCGATCGAACGCCTGCTGTTGCGCATCTTCCCACTCAAATGTCGCGTCCTTTCTCGTTAGCTGCGTTAAGGGGCGTGCGATGAGGGAAAATCCTTCGATATATTTTCGAAAATAGCTACCCAGGTCTAAGAACTGTCGTACTTCGTGCACGTTCCTGGGAGTTGGAAAGTTGTCAATGGCATTCGTTTTTCGTTTACCTGGCTTGATTCCATCTGAGCTTATCTCATGGCCCAAGTATTCAATCCGTGTCTGAAAAAAATTGCATTTGCTTAGGCGTAACGTAAGTTTCGCCTCTCTAAGAACTTTCAGCACAATTTGTAGGTTTTCCAAACCAATTTCCACGGTACTAGTTGGAATTAGTATATCGTCCATGTAAACCATGGCAGTTGAAAATCTGAGTGATCCGAGAACCTTATTGATCATTCGTTGAAAACAGGCTGGCGCATTGGCCAAACCAAATGGCATCCTTAGGTATTCGTAGTGACCATCAGGTGTTATAAATGCCGTTTTACTTATGGAATCGTCTGGCACAGGAATTTGGTGATAACCTGAACACAGGTCCAGTGACGTAAAGTATCTACAACCTTTCAACCTTTACAAATGTTCATCAACTCTAGGCAAGGGATATCTGTCTTTTACAGGCTTTACATTCAAGGCACGATAGTCTACGCACATTCTGTATTCCCCTGTTTTTTCTTTACTAAAAGAATTGGGCTCGCATAAGGGGAATCAAATTCTCTAATTACTTCACCCTGAAGAAGGTCGTCAATAATTTCCCTCACTTCAGATCTTTCCATCTGAGATAGCTTATACGGGCGATAAGTCACAGGTTTGTCATCAGTTAACACAATGTTCATCTGAGTGTTGCCCAGTTCGGATGTTGATCTGGCGAAACAGTCAGTGAATTCATTTAAGAGATCTAGCAAAGACTGTCTATGTTTCGTACCGATGGAGTCATCAACCTGAACACTTTCAATCTCTATGACATGATCTGTTCTGTGTTGAACTAGATTAACTGTATTTTCACTATCTTCCTGCAACTGCTCCATGACACATGGTTCACCACGTGCCAATACAGTCCCTTCTTGGAAGACTATTGGAGAATTCGAAGTATTCAGTATCGAAATTATGGGGTTTTGTGACGATGTTATGCAACGTCCAATGCAATGTTCCTTGCCTAGGTTAGATCTAAGCTTGCATTCCACAAAGATGTCGCCTATATAAACCCCACAGGATACCTCTACATTGGACATACTATTTTCCGGAATAACAGTAATATTTTTAGCCAATAGTTTCAATTTAGCCGATAATGAGTTTTCATCCAGGTCGGGCAGTAGTATCTATATCTTCGTCCATTATTCTAACGGTGTTATTTTGCACCAAAAGGAGTCTATTCTTCTTGTTGATGAATGATTGACCAACTATTATGAGTATAGCTTGAACATGGTTATCCACAACAAGAGTTTCAACTTCATCTGAAACTAGATCTATGGAGAGATGTATGGTAGTCAGTCCCAGTATAGTGGCTGTCCCATTGTTATATCCATGGAGTATCATGGTGGTAGGGGTCCAGGATAACCCAGCATGTTCAGCATTTTCTTTTCTAATTATCACAGCCGAACATCTCGTGTCCACAAATGCCTTCATGGTTTTCCCGTTTACTTTGCAATTGATGAAGTAACATTTATTGGAATTATTATTTGTACATGTTAATACCGACTTGGGCTTCTTATCGCAGTTTTCCTTAGTATGACCAAACTGATTACAACTAAAGCATTTTATTTTTCGTCTAGGACACTTAAAATACGGATGTTTCTTGGCAATTATAACATTTCAGACTAGGGTCCGGCTTGTTCTTTTGGTCTGTTTTACTGTGTGTAAAATGTTTTCTGTTTGCACCATTGAATGTAGATCGACTCGAAGTATTGAGGGTACCTGAACCAGAAGGGAGGGTTGTAAGGTATTCAGAGTATAGCTCTTCTGGTGTCAAATACCTCCCTGCCTTAGCACCAGTTTTCACGTTTTGGTCTATTATTCCATCAGTCACACATGATACTGCTTTTCTTCCAGTAAATTCACAAGCCTGTATCAATTCCATTTTTTTAAAATAAAATTTGTCCCATGACTCATTTGGCATCTTGGTCCGTTGAAGCATATCTTTCAGCTGAGTTGCGTAATCATGATGAGATGGAAACGTTGTTGTAATCAAGGATTTCCACTCTTGCCAGTTTAAGTTATAAGAATGGAGACCGTTATACCAACTTTTTGCGAGTCCCCCTAGTCGACTTTGCATGTGATAGATAGTAGTTTTCTCGTCCCATCCGTTGATATTGGCTAACTGCTCTATTTTCATGATCCATTTTTCAGACTGATTGTTGGAATTTCCAGGTTCAAATATGGGGATGCAATCGGATTTAACGTTATTTCGTAAAGGTTGTTCACGATGGTCAGTACCATAGCTGTCACCTCTTGATAATCTGGTTACTAGTTGTTCCAAGAGCTCCAGTCTAGTGTCCGTTGAGGTGGTAAATGGTTTAGGTGAACCTTGTATACGAGAACGGTGCGGACTTCTAGATTTTTCACTTCGCCCTGGCCGAGAACTTCTGTCCTTTGAAGTTCTATTCTCACGTTTAGACCGCTTCCGGCTATTTCGTTCAGATGACTGACTCCTACGACTCCGGTGCCTGCCCATGGTTCAACCTTGAAAGGATAAAATATCCCAGATAAAAACCTACCACATACGACAGTACCAAGCAAGTCGTTTTGACTCACACATTTGAAATAATTAGGCATATAACATCTCCAAAAAGAGTTCTTGCATACACCCTGTACACAATGCAGTCAAGAATATCATGAATAATTATTAACAACTACAGTATCAGTGAATAGAGTAATATTGGTCGGATGAGTATTTTATCCACTATATTCGTCGTGCACTCTGCGCATTACATGACACTATGTACGACTTGTGTTGTATCAGTTGTTATATCATGCATATTAAGTACACCCTGTACATCAAATGTTATACAACCTGTACATTAAACCTTAACCTACATAGACCCTGTACGTTAAATATTTACTTATGTACATCCTGTACATTAAATGTTACACAAACTGTGTATTAAACCTTAACCTACATACACTCTGTACGTTAAATATTTACCTATGTACATCCTGCACATTAATTGTTACACAACCTGTGTATTAAACCTTAATCTATATACACCCTGTACGTTAAATATTTACTTATGTACACCCTGTACATTAAATGTTACACAACCTGTGTATTAAACCTTAATCTACATACACCCTGTACGTTAAATATTTACTTATGTACACCCTGTACCTACGTTAAATATTTACTTATGTACACCCTGTACATTAAATGCTACACAACCTGTGTATTAAACCTTAATCTACATACGTTAAATATTTACTTATGTACACCCTGTACATTAAATGCTACACAACCTGTGTATTAAACCTTAATCTACATACATACATACGTACATACATCCAAATATATACACATTATAGTCATACAGCACAGTCAAGTATGCACTTCGTGTATTACCTTGCACAGCCTCCTCGAAAAGCAGTGAACACGATCCCGCCGCTGCACTGTTAGGTAAAAGTCCTCAGGAGAATTAATAATACTCGAAAAGACCACTAACAATATACAGGGTGATTCAGTCATAATGTCATTAATTTTAAGAGCAGATAGAGAAAAATGAGTATAATACGATGGCGTGATTAAAAAAAAATAATGCATATTTAAACTGAAAAAAAAATATTTTCAAATCATTATTTAACCCCCTTTTCAGGCTGTTACTGACCGGCTGACGTTCACAATATTGTGCACGGCTACGATGTGAACAAGGTGCCCTAGATGCAACGTTGCCATATTTATATATTTTCCCTCATATAAAGACAATAAATAAAAGGTTTGCTCACGTTAGCCAATAATAATTTAAAATACTATAAATTATTTTTTATTTATGCAATCAACATATTAAATTGTTATTGTTGCCCAGCAAGAACCTCGAGGAGGTCTGAGCATGTATGCCTTGCCAAAAATCAGTTTTTATTAGCATCATAATGTTAATATTTTAACAACATTTGCTGTAAGCCCGAAGGGAAAAGTTTTCAAACAATTCTACTAAAAATTGAAAGTAACGCGGCCCATTCAGATGTTCAGGTAGAAAATTCGGCCCAATTAAACGTTCGCCATTGACATTGACACCGAATCTCCTCTGAAAGCTAAACCGACGAGTAGTGTGCGGGTTTTCATCTGACCAAATGTGACTATTATGGCTGCAAAGAAATTGGCTGTTTCACTTTAAATAAAATTTAATATTGAAGTTCATTTCAATTTCGTTACAGAAATAATGACATAAAAAACCAACACTCACTAGATAAATTATAAAGAGAGGACGAAATGTATGTAGTATTTAAATATTGACTGTAAGTAATAGAAGAGAGACTTGTATATTCCATAAAAAAAACAATGGGACGGAGACAAATAAACAACTCCGTACATGTTTCCGACCTAGGCCAACCTGGGGTTCAGTAACCTTTTAACCCACTTTTAATTTGCACGTGCACCATATAGTCCAGGAGCCAGATAGGATTCCGTAGCCACGGCTGCAAACAACTTATTCTTAAATATTTGACCTCTTGAATCCAAAAAACTTGGTCGCAAAGCCTGAAAGTGGTCAGTTTAATTGTTATCAACAAATTAAATGTTTAAATGGCTGTAAAAAGTTTATTTTTATAGCTAGTACAATTTATTCGCTAATAGTTACGTTTTCTCATAACAAACATGTATTTTTTTGAAAATTAAAACCAAATTTATTGCAAATTTAGTGCAAATCTCTTACATTTTCCGTCTCCGCGCGTACTAATTTTACCAAATCTGGTTCTACTGGACGGATTGAGACGCACGACATCTCATTTTAAAACTTGAACTTTATTTTACAAGATAGGTAAGTTCCATTTATTAATTTATTTATTTAATAATTAATGGCAGCTTGGAAAGTTGTGAAATTTCAACGAAAATGCCGGTTTTAATTGTTTATAAGGTTTTTTTATTATTCAACTTCGACGAAAAGACTAAAAAAGTTACCGGATATTGTTCTTTGCATTCTAACAATCAAGCAAGGTATGAAATCATTGTTAGGGTGCGAGGAACAATAACCGGTAACTCTTTTGGCTTTTCATCGAAATTGAATAACAAAAAAAGTTTTATAAACCAATAAAGCCAGCATTTTCGTTGAAATTCCACAACTTTCTAAGCTGCCATTAATTTTTAAATAAATAAATTAATAAATGGAACTTACCTATCTTGTAAAATAAAGTTTAAGTTTTAAAATGAGATGTGCGTCTCAATCCGTCCAATTGAACTAGAGATATAGTAAAATGCGCGCAGAGACGGAAAATGTAAGATATTTGCACTAAATTTGCAATAACGTTGGTTAAAGTTAATCTTTTTTTAATTCTCAAAAAAATATGTTTGTTATGAGAAAACGTAACTATTAACGGATAAAAAATTGTACTAGCTATAAAAATAAACTTTTTACAGCCTTTCAATTTGTTAATAACAATTAAACTGACCACTTTCAGGCTTTGCCACCAAGTTTTTTGGTTTCAAGAAATCAAAATACTTAGAAATAAGTTGTTTGCAGCCGTGGCATTCTGTTTGGCTACGGAACCCTATATGCCCCCTAGACTAAAGGCCGGGACACACTTGTCATACACCATTCCGATCCGACTACGATCATACAGTCGGACGAGTGTCTGAGAGGGAAATGGTACTAGAGTTTGAACGGCGTAGTTCACACCTTTCCGGCACGTGTCCGCTCCCACTCATACTGGACTTCGTTCATGCATCCGATCGTGTTCCGATTGTGCAGTCTATTCGTTTAACAGCTGCAGGACGCGTGTCGTTTGGTATTTATATATTTTTTAGTTTTTCTAAAGACATTCCAAAATATTAGTAAAATTTTGTCTCGTCATCCAACAGATGAGGTAAAAGTGTAGAATACTCTCCTTCTGCAGATCTTTTCCAAGCAGGATGTACCCAAAATCTGCGTTTTCCTGTGTTCTCTATGAAATCTCTCCGATTTTCTTCATCTTCCTCTTCTAAACAAAGTGCCACTATGGCTAACTCGCAGTTGTAAAATTTTTTGAACATTTTGCGCACAGGACCTTCCGCGATTTTGTTTGAATCGAGACTGACGAGAGTGGCGAATGT